GCTATATATTTGYATCTGGTGAGTGGATACACTCCCTCTTTGCTTCCTGATCATCATGTGAGCTCGTTCCCTTTGTCACACTCTTCCACCATGATGTTCTGCCTCACTTTGAGCCCCAAGGATTGAAGCCTACTGTCTATGGATTGAGACCTCTGAAACTATGAGTCCCTAAATAAGTTTTTCYTCCCCTGAAATTGTTCTGGTCAGAACTTTTAGTTATAATAACAAAATAGCTGATTAAAGTAAATTCCCAGTCTTGAAAGTTGTCTACTTTAACAATGAAAGCAGGTACTGGAGCAAATGGGATCCTAGATGGATGCTAGTCAGCTTTCTGTTACTGTGACAAAATACCTGAGAAAAACAACTTAAAGGAAGATGTAACTCAGTGCTAAAGTGCCCCTGGGTTTAATAATAATAATAATAATAATAATAATAATAATAATAACAATAATAATAATCTTTTTCCCTCTACCTGGAGATCTTCAGGGAAAGAAAGTTAACACTAAAAATGGGTCAAAATGCCCCTACCTACTAATTTCACAGACTTTGTGTGGGAAATTAGATGACTTTTACCAATGCCATTGTCCTGTTGAAAGAAAGACTAACTTTGGATTATGGTTGTAGAGCTTTCAGCCCATGATTGGCAGGCTCCATTTTTTCTGGGCCTGTGGTGAAGCAGAACATTGTGGCAGAATCATAAGGCCAAGGAAAGCTGCCCAAATTATGACAGCCAGGAAGCAGAGAGAAAGCAAAGAAGGGGCCAGAGACAGGACAAGCCCTTCCAGGGCAAGCCCCCATGACCTACTTCCTCCAACTGGATTCTACCTCGTTTCTGCCTCCTCCCAATAATGCCATCAAAGCATCAATATGTCAATGGGCCAACCCTTTGGAGAGTTTAAAGCCTTCATGATCCAATCACTTCCCCCAAATCCCCAGCTCTGAACATTGTTATACTGGGACCATTCAACACATGATCCATTCAACACATGATCTCTGGGGGCTCATGACCTAAACCATAGCAAAGTTTGAGAAGACCCAGATGAGCTGGGGATACCGAGGCTACAGATTCTGATGAGTCTTAACCAGAAAGAAGGCTTCCCATRGGCAGTGAATGCAGCTTGTGATTCCCTGCAAAATTAGCTTCCCAACCCCAGTGGAAGTGGACTCCCCAACCCAATGGCAGCAGCATCCCCACCCACAGTGGTAGCAGCTTCATCAATCACAAATGGTGCTGGGAAAACTGAAAATGCATATGCAGCAAAATGAAACTAAACCCCTATCTTTCACCAGGCACAAAACTCAACTCAAAGTGGATCAAGGACCTAGGAATCAGACCAGAGACCCTGCACCTTACAGAGGAAAAAGTAGGCCCAAATCTGCATCACATCATATTAGGCCCCAACTTCCTTAACAAGACTCCTAAAGCACAAGAATTAAAATCAAGAATCAATAAGTGGGATGGATTCAAACTAAAAAGCTTCTTTTCAGCAAAAGAAATAATCAATGACAWGAAGAGAAAGCCTACATTTGGGGAGCAAATTTTTGCCACACACATATCAGATAGAGCACTAATCTCCAGGAAATATAAAGAACTCAAAAAACTTAACACCAAAAAATCCACATGACCTAATCAATAAATGGGCTAAGGAGCTGAACAGACACTTCTCAGAAGAAGATATACAATTGATCAACAAATACACTGAAAAATGTTCAACATATCTAGTAATTAGAGAAATGAAAATCAAACCTAAGATTTCATCTCTTGCCAGTCAGAATGGCAATTATAGAGAATACAAGCAAAAATAAGTGTTGGCAAGGATGTGGGGGAAAAGGCACACTTATATATTGCTGGTAGGATTGCAAATTGGTGCAACCACTCTGAAAAGCAGTATGGAGATTTCTTAGAAAACTAGGAATAAAACCACCATTTGACCCAGCTGTCCCTTTTCTCAGTCTATACCCTTGTGAGGAGCCACTCTGAATGACCCACACCTTCCATCCTGAAGCCAGAGGCTCTGACCAATCACTACATTTTGTGGTGACTTGGGCGTTGTCCCAGCCCAGGAAGTAGAAGGCGTGTCTTTAGGAGCTACACTCACCTATTCCKTTGTAATCCTACCCTTTTGCCCTGTTTGGGATAGAATGTTCCAAGGAAATGCTCTTTGTGTGTCTCCTTCTCTTGCTCTGCCTTTGGGTGTGGCCTTCCTACATGTCAGTCAACCTGCTGACAGCAGACATCATGAAGCTAGACTCAGCCCCCTGACCCCTTGCCTCATTTGAAGGTGTCTCCTTAATAAAAGAGTTCAACACATGCTCTCTCTCTCTCTCTGTCTCTCTACTTTTCATAGATCCCTAAGGTCAGAGGAGCCATCACAGGACCCAAAGAAAAAGGWATCTCTGTCTCTTGTGTGATTATTTCATGCATCTCAGTTCACCTGGAGTGACCCTGAGTGTTTTAGTTGTGAGGAACCTAACATACCCTAAAGACTTAGAAACAGCACACTACAGTAACGCAACCTCTTCAATGTTTACAGTGGCACAATTCACAATTACTAAACTGGGAACCAACCTAGATGCCCTTCGATAGCTGAATGAATAAAGAAATTGTGTTATATATACACAATGGAATATTACTCAGCATTAAAAGGAAATAAAACTATGGTATTTGCAGGTAAATGGATGGAGTTGGAGAATATCATGCTAAATTAAATAAGCCAATCTCAAGAAACCAGGGGTTGAATGTTTTCTCTGATAAGTGGATGCTAATCCATATGGGGGGCATGGAACAAGTGGAGAAACTTGGGATGGGGCAGAGGGAAGCAGGGGGAGGGCAAAGGGGCCGAAAAGATGATGGGATGAGACGATCATATTTACCCTAGGTGTATATATGTATGATGTGCGAACGATGTGACCTCATGCACAACCATAAAAGTGAAAAATTCTGCTCAATTTGTATAAAAAAAATAAATAAACAAAAAGTTAAAAAAAAAAAAAAGTATGACACTGTGGGAGGCCATCCTGCCCACGGGCTGAGCATCCTCTCTCAGCCTTGAGTAAGGCGGGTGTTTGGTCCGGCATCACWCGCCATGCACTGTGCAAAGAAAGTGGCCTCCACCTTCACTCGGCAAAGAAGTTTGCTCTCGCCCTGGACTTGGGCATTACCAATGGGATTCGATAACTCCCCTTTGAAACCCTATCCTCTGCCTTATTTAGTGAAGAACGTTCCATTGAGGCTCCTTTGTGTGTTCCCCCCATAAAATAAAGACATTCTAGGGGCACACTCTCTTGCCTTCCAGCGTGRAAGAGGACCCTTGAGGTCACAGAGCAGTTCCACCCTCAACCTGAGAAACTCACGTCTGCATGTTGCATGATTTCTTTGCTGTTTTCTTATCTTAATGTTGCAGCCAGCTCTTCTGAACCCAGCTCACCTTGTAAGAGTGGGCAGCTGGTGAGACATTACATTACCAAAAAAAAAAAATTTCTTAGAGTTTTTTCATTTATACTGCAGAAATACAAAGACCATGTGTATGAATGGATACCCAGACTATGGTAATGGTATAAGGAACATAAAATCAGGCCAAATTTCTTGATATAGGCTCACTATGATGATACTACACTTAATATTGCAACCCAGGGATTTAAAAGGTCTCTATTGGTTGGTTGGTCAGATGAAATATGGACCAAAAGATCAACGACCACAAGCAAATTGGAAAAGCCTAACCTCCTTTAGCTTAATGTAGATAAAAATGTCTCAGACTTGGGACTATTGGATTGTTAGAGTGGATTTGTGATTTAAGACCTACTTGCTCACACTGGGAGAATCCAAAAGACAGAACCTCACAGCCTCTCAATGGGTTCCCAGACTTGAGCCAGTTTGTAGACTCAGAATCCTTGAACAAGGACAGGCTGAATCCCCTGCAGGAAGGACCCCAAAACCCTAGTGAAAATTTATGCTGTTAATTTTTCTCCCAATCTTCCCCCAAGGGACTTAGAGCCCTTGAAAAGGCCAACTATGGATGCGGTGGGGAGGGGGAGATAACCAGATCTTTCAGAGTGGCTTTCAGAGATGCAAAGTCACAATGGCCCTTTAGTAGAAGGGGATTGTGGAAGTCAGGTTGTCACAAGAAAACAAGGAACTAAAACTCCAAACCTCGGATCTTGCTTTCTGACGACAGAAAATTTAAAGTCAGACACCAAAAGTCATGCAAGAGAACTCTATTATAAGTGAAAGTAAAGTAAAAGCAAAGTGAGGCTCAAGCAGAGAGCACTCTCAAGAGAGAGGGCCATCTCTAAGCAGAGAAGGACAAAGGACACACGCCGTCTCCATATTTATTACTTTTGATGTTTACTAGGAGAACTGGGGACCACATTCTGTATTCTTTGCCAATCAGGTGTTTAACTCTTCCTTTTAGCAGGCAGTGGAGTTTTTGTCTACAGGGAAGAAAGAAGGTGGGGGATCCGTGAAAAATCAAGACACCTCCACTCCCACAGGCACCAGCTCTGGATCCCTCCATTCTGTTTCTTAAATAGAACTTAATTTTTATGCTTGCCTCAGCATTTCTCAGGTGTTTAATCTTCAACACCAGGGGAACAAGGACCCAATCCTGTTTTCCAAGATTAGGATCAGTGACATTCCATGTCACTCTCACCAGAAGCGACATCCATATTCTGTTCACTATAAGCACGTCACTGGATCCAGCCCTCACTGGAGGAAAGATGATTACCCAAGGGCATGACGCCAGGAGGGGCAGATCGTTAGCAGTCATCTTCAGGGGTCAGGGTTAGAACCCCAGTGCCTTGATGCTACAGCAAGTAATGCTGGGAATAGATCTGAATCTTGACCCCAGCCTGAGGAGTTGAGGAGATCTGTGGTGCTAACACAGACAAGGGTTCCTGGAACACACGCATCCACGCATGCACAAACGTGCACACATACTCACATACTTCCGGAAGCTGAGGTAAGTGCTTCCTCCTTCAGCCTCAGATCTGAAAATCGACGGTCATGGAGGGCCCAGAGAATCATGCGGACAACTGGGCTGTAGGAGCGTTCTTCGATAAACCACAAGAGAGTCAGCCGCAAATACGTTCTGTGCTGTGGACCTCTCTCCTCTTCCTGTTTGTGGGTAAGTCCACATTATGGCAACCATCACCTGTTAGTGGAATTCCTTGGAGGCTTGTAACATTTCCTGCCTGAAAGATTCTCATTTGATAAAAATCAAGAAACTCACCTCCTTGTGGTGATTACTCTGCAGATTCCACTTTATTTTGAGTTCTGTTTGTGTGTGTGTGTGTGTGTGTGCGCGCGCGCATTCACACACCATGAAGAGGCGATTTTCCTTAGCCCCAGTCTCAAACAACTCTGGGCTCAAACTAGTTCTTCTCACCCTCACATTTCCTGCCAAGAAATGCTAAGTTATGAGAAATGCTAAGTTATGAGTTATGAGTTTGTTTCTGGTACAGTGTGGATACATCCACCAAAAGATGCAGGGAAGTTCTGCTGATGAAAAACCACCTGGCAATTCCCTAAAGAGGGGTCACCACTGCTAGACCTTCTTTCCACTTCCTGTCTTGTTTTCCACATATCCTGTACTACTAAGACTTCACAGAGAATCTGGAGGTGGTCAGGGACCCTGAGCAAGGTAGCCTCTGTCTGGATAACCTTTTTTCCCCCACATTCTTCCTCTCCATCAAGTCCCAGCTTTTGGGCTGGGCATGGTGGTAATGCCTRTAATYCCAGCAACCCAGGAGGCTTTATGATGATATATATAAAGTGCTTGGTGGAAGCTATGATTGTTGTTGTGATAATTACTGTTTTGTACATTCTTTGAAAGCAATTAAGGGATGGGTAAGTCATATATAGTTATTACAATCTTTGAACCCTCCTTTTGTATTGGTCAAATGGTACTGTTCAAAAAAAGTGATGTTGTCACTATGCTRGGAGCTACATGGCACTGTTCTGTGAAACCCACATCCTGCTCCTTCTTCTGACAGCCTATGAGGCTTTAATGTGAGAAGATATGAATTCAAAGTGGGTTATATRCACCCAGCCAAGACCCAGCATCTTCTGGGCTTCCAAGATAGGAGTGATTAATTTCTTTCATTTCTTTAAATTTCAGCTCCTTGTCTGTAAATAAAGATAGATTCTGAAGCCGCTGGGTTTTCAGAGTTCTCATCCTCCTTCCTCCCCTCCACAATATAYTTGTGCCTCTCCTCTTTCTCTGTCTTCTATGTATTTTTCTACCTAGAATTCCTGGAATAGCCTGGGTCTTGAACCTACCTGATTTTGTCTACAATTTCCAGAGTTCTAGCAGAGCCTGAGAAACCCAGAGCTCCGAGAACCCAGGGTAGGCCATACAGCAGATGTCTATAAGGTGTCTAGGAGAAAATGAGCTGCACTAGCCAAATGCCAGGCTCTGGTCAGCCTTGGAAACAAGGTTTTATCAGAAATATGCTTCTTCCCTAAAATGATAAAATCAGGAGCCTGCATCAATGATATCAATTATTCCTAACCCCCAGACTTAGACAAAGTCYGTCTAAGATCCCCTGGACAATGAGGGGAAAGGTAGGCTGAGACAGAGGTGAGGAAACTCATTTTATTCCTAACACTTGGTTATGAAAATTGTCAAACACTCAGATAAATTGAAAAGATTTTGCAATGAGCACTCACAGGCCTCCCACCTAGATTCGACCCTTATACCACTYGCCTCTCCTTCTCACCATCCCACTAGGCATCCATCTACTAAGATTGYTTTTAAAAGAACTTTACCCATTCTTTCCAATTCACAGCAACTGCTTTCATTTAATTTTTACCATATTCCTTGAGGAAGATGATGCGGACTGGAGCCCTTCAATCCTGTAGATAAATAAACTTGATTCTCAGAAAAATTCTGAAATGCACCCAAAGTCACAAGGYTAATTCCCCTGTTGGGACAGAAACATAAAAGTTCTGTTTTTCTGGTTGCTGTAGCTGTGTTTGGTGAATGAATGAATGACTTTGTTAGGCACTGGACCTAAAAAAGGAATCTCGTTTCATTTTCTCACATCTAGCATTTTTGCCTGAAACATGTTTGTTGATGAGTGAATGAAGGCTGGCTTGAGGAGTCCAGCTGCTCCTCTAAGTCCTTCTTCTGTCTCTGCAGGAATAGGAGCCTCTGAAAAAGACTCAACCCCAATGGTGGTGTCAGGGATCCTCGGGGGGTCCGTGATCTTCCCCCTGAACATCTCAGTCGACACGGAGATTGAAAACATTGCCTGGACTGGCCCTAATGAAGCTCTTGTCTTAGTACATCCTGGAACACATCCGATCTTTTTGGTCAAAAGCTATGAGAGCCGAATAAACATCAGTGGAAACTACTCCTTGCACATGAGACACCTAACCCAGAAAGATGAGGGATCCTACAAAGCCCAAATAAACCAAAARAATTCTAAAGTCACCACTAAGAAGGAATTCATCCTGCACGTCTATGGTGAGTTCTAGAGAGCTTGTGGGGATTTTGACCTTTTGTTTTTAAAAACAGATTTATTTGTCTCTCTAGGATAAATATAACCACTATATTGATCATTTTAACCCAATTCCATAGACACTGATATCAAGAGTGGAAAACATAACCATAAAATCCTTATGTGTTTTAAAATTGCCATAATTTATGTAACCGATCTCTTACTTATAAACATTTAGATCATTTCCAATCGTTTCCTCTGACAAACACTGCTTTACTACTGAATATTCCTGTTGACCTGTCTTTTCATGTGTATATGAGTGGGTTATATTCTGAAAGAAAATCTATAGGATTGCTACAGTTTGGACATGAGGTATCCCCCAAATGCCTCTGTTAATGCAGAAATATTCAGAGGTGAAATTATTAAATCATGAGAGCTGTATCTAATCAGTCCAMTCTAGTTTGAACAGACTGACTGGTTGGTAACTGTACGCAGGTGACCTGTGGCTAAAGGAAGTGGGTCACTGGGGTCTGCCGTGTGAGGATGCATCCCCTGCTTCACCTCCCACTCCTGCTTGCTGACTCCACTGGCCTTTCCCCCATGATGTATTGCCTCCCCTCAGGCCCAGAGCAAGGGAGACTGCCATCTATGGACTGTGATCTCTGAAACCCAAATAAAACTGGTCATCCAACAAAAAAAAAAATTACTGAAAACAGGGATATATTTGTGGAGGCAAGTTGCTGACTTAAAAAGTGTATGCATTTTTTTTATGTTGCTAGATATTTCCTGAGGCCTCCTTGGCTCTTAGATGGCTGCCCTTTCACTTTGTTCTCATATAGGAGTTCTATGTTGTCCGTGTCCTCATCTCCTCTTCACATAAGGACACTAGTCATTTTGTATTAAGGCTCACCCCAACAACCCCATTTTAACATAACTGCCTTTTTAAAAGCCCCATGTCCAAATGCAGTCACATTCTGAGATACTGGTATGAGAACTTTAACATGAAGTTGGGGAGGACAGATTCAGTCCTAACAACTCTGGCCTCTGTTCCCCCAAAATTCATGTCCTTCTCATATGCAAAATACACGCACCCCGTCTGAACAGCCCCTTAAGTCTTAACCCACTCCAGCATCAACTCTAAATCCAAAATCTCATCTGAATATCATTGAAATGGGGTATGAATGAGACTTGAGGTACTATTCATCCTGAGGCAAAATTCCTCTGTGGTTGTGAACCTGTGAAACAAGTTAACTACTTCCAAAAAAAAAACACAGTGTTGGGATATCATAGGACTGACACTACCATTCAAAAGAGAAAAAAATGGAAAATAGAAAGGGGTTACTGGTCCCAAGCAAGTCTGAAATCTAGCAGGGCAATTTCCATTAAATGTTAAGGCTAAAGAACAATCCTCTTTGGCTTCATGCTCTAGGCCCACTGGGGTGACCGCCCCATCCCCATGGCCCTGGGCATCAAGAAGAAAACTGTTCAACCCTATCCCAGGCCTGTGTCCTCTAGGCCTCTGGTGACAGTGGCAGCTCTGACAACCTCTGAACTTTGGTGTTATTCTTTTCCTTACTACAGTAGAGTTCTATTGACTTCGTTCAGAAGTCTGACAGCCTTCCTTTGTTTGTCCTGTAACTGTCCCCTCAGTCCAAGCTTGTGGCACGTGCCAAAACACCCAAGAAAAAACAACGTAGAGGAGGAAAGGGGTTTTTTTTGGGGGGGGGGGGGTTGGTTTTTTTGTGTTTTGTTTTTGGCTCATGGTTTCAGAGATATCAGTCACTTGGCCCCGGCTGCTGTGACCTTGTGGTGAGGCAGGAAGCTGTGGTGGTGCTCTCCTCCTGCTGACCAGGAAGCAGAGAGGGGCTGGGATGAAGAATACAGGAACAAAATAAACTCTTCAGAGACACACCCCAAGTGGCCCACCCCTTCCAATCAAGCTTCGCCTTCTAAAGCTTCCACCCTTCCCMACAGCTCAATCAGATCAGGGACAAGCCTTCAGCACRTGAGCTTTTAGGGACATTCCAGAWCYAGAATATAACACAACATCTCTATACGGTTGATTGGATCCATAAGTCACTCTCATAACCTATTAAGCAAGCACTGTCCAGCCACATGCTGTGTTTCCTCCAAACACACTTTCTTAATTTTTGCAATATGAATAGCTGAAAATTTCCCARATCTTCAAGTATCTGGTTTCATCTTGTGTAATAATTCCTTCTTCAAGGTATCTCTTTCCTCTGACATTTTGTGTAAACAGCAGGTACTGATACAWGAAGTACCTTCAATATTTTACTTAGATAAGTAAATATATTATTTCTAARATAATATTTGTTTTATCCTCAGCTAAATACCCATGTTAGTCATTAAAACTTTCTGTTTTCCACAAAAGACTCAAACACAATTCAGCCAAGTGGCATAGGCCACTTTATGTCCCCTAGTTTCCACAAACATATTCCTCATTTCTGTCTGAGACCTCACCAGAAGCACCTTAAGTATTTTTATTTCCACCAACATTCCATTCAGGATRACTCATAAGTAGCTCTAGGATAATAGAAGATTTTCCTACAGCTCYCCTGTTTTCTTTCCAAGCCCTCAGCAGAATCCCTTTAACATCTATATTTCTACCAAAAGCCTCTTTAATACAATCCAGGCTTTTCCTAACATGACCCTCAAAATTCTTCGAGTCTTTRCCATTAAGCAGATCCCAAGTCACTTTCTATATTTCT